CTTAGATTGCAAAAGAGATTGAGATGGAAGATTCCCGCAAGCCTATTGCGCATTGAGGGGAAAGAAGCTTTTTTCCCAAAGACAAGCAAGTGTAGCACACGCCCATGCCATTTGGCCTTGCCGTTCCTTCTTGTTTCATGCATGTTTCCTGAGCCATCCTCCTTCCTCGCGCTCAGTGTTCTCGTGGTGAAGGAACGAAAGAAAGAAAGAGAGAGCCGACGAAAGCGTCGACACACGACAATGTTGCTTCCCAAAGTACTGGGAAGGGTCGCCCTGGCCGCCCCTGCAGGTACGTGAGCTGGCCTCCCCTTATTTGCTGGGTCCTTGGGGTGTAGCTTCCCCTGGAAATCCATCCCGCCCCCCCCCCCCCTTCTCCTTCCCACCCAACGAGCATCAGCGCCTCTCGCTGTTGCCGTCTGTTCCGGTGCCTCCAGGGCCCAATCCAGGTTCACGGGTCGCACGGCACATGCAGTTCTTCCCTTGATCTTTTGTAGACGACACACTCGTTCCTTGTTTCAATGCACCGGCTGACAAGTTAGCCCTCTCAACATACCCACCGCCTGTCAACGCCCAAGAGACGGGTCAGTCCGTCTTCGTGTCTCCCGACAACCTCGTCACCTTCGCCTTCGCCGCTCCGACCGACCACAATCGCGATGTCTACTTCTCTCTGCGCGTTCACCAGAGCGTCACCTGGGGTGCCGTCGGCCTTGGGTCAGACGACATGCCCAATTCCCTGATTCTCATGCTCTACCACGATGACGAGGGCACCGGCGTCACCTTCTCGCCTCGCATCGCCTTTGGCAACTACGAGCCCGAGTACTATTCACACATGCGCTGGGAGGTGCTCGACGGTACTGGCATCCAAGGCGACTACTTGGTCTTCAACGCACGCTGCACCGACCACTGCCGCACCTGGCTGCACGGCTCCCTCGATGTCTTTGATCACGATCAGAAGGCCATCTGGGCCGTTGGTCCCGACGGCAGCCTGCGCTCCGACGACATGGACGCGCCGCTGCCCATGCATAGGCAGTTTGGCGGCTTCGAGATCGACATGGGCCGCACCAACAAGGTCAACGCCACGAGCATCAGCGCCGACGCGAAGAACATTGGCACCGAGACGAGATTCCACCAGCAGAGCCATCGCGATCTCAAGTCACGATTTCACGCCATCTTCATGATCATGTCCGTCTGCGTGCTGCTGCCGGCAGGCATATTGTGCCTGCGCGCCGGTCAGATGGTGCGCTGGCACGGCATCGTCCAAAGCGTCGCCCTCGTCTTTGCCATTGTCGGTGTCAGTCTAGGCATTGTCACGAGCTTCCTGTATCAACGTGTAGGTTTAGGCTCCTGTCGACCCCACCTCGAGGCAACCATGTCACTGACCTGAACCAGTCTCGCGGATTCAACGACAAGCACCAGATCATCGGCCTCGTCGTCTTTGGCCTGTTTTTCGGCCAGTTTGTACTCGGCATCCTGCATCACTTGCAGTTCAAGCGCACGAAC